TAATATTTAACTGTGTACAATATGTATAGATTTATATTTTAGTTTAGTATATTAGCGTTTGAATATATGTATTTACTTGTTGTAATCGGCGTTTTTTTCAATCAGTTGCCGTGAGTTAGAATGAAAGTATGTTATATGTTAATTTAATCTTATTTATTTTAATAAATAAAACAAGTAATTATAAAAATGAGGCCATAAAATCTTTTCTAACTTTCCTTAGTACACTTATAAATCCACGTATCCAAAATTAAGGAAAACTTCTTGCCTTTCTGGGAAAACTAACCTAACCACTTTAACGTAACGAGCGCGATATTTCTTGGATAATCTCCCTCAAATCGTTTGACTTTTTATCGAGAATCTTTCAAGAAAAATGTAAAAATGACTTTATACTGTACCGCCAATTTAAAATATTTTAAATTCCCTAAGAGGCGGTAAGCATCTTAGTATCCTACTATCCTTGTAATTTTATAAATCTAAAACTTTACGAAGATGTTTCTTATTTATTAACGTTTAAATTAATTTGAGTAAAAAGTAACTAAAGTATACCACATAGTATAACACATAGACTGTTATTATCATAATTCATGCAGATAAAAATATGGATTATGATTAATTTGAAATAATAGAATTTCAGAAATTTGCTTTTTTTATAATTCGTATATTATATTTTTATTTTATTAATTCTGAACCTATTAACCTGTCATCGGAATTGCACCCAGATTACTTCATACAGTCTCTCTGGTAAAATTGTTTTAAGTTTTCATGCTATATCCTTTACGGAGTAGGCGAAATCATTTTTTTGATTAAATGAGAAAATGCATCTAATCATATACATACATATATATTTCGATGTAAAGATAAACCTTACAATTTGTTAATTATAAAGAGGAATTCAAAATTTTACCAATGGTAACAATTTCCAATATCAATAGAATCAGTTGCCTTTATCAATTATGACAAACTAATCACCTTTTATCCTCTGTTTCTGTTAAGTCGAATTTAGTGATGTTTACTGCGTCTCATCAAGCGTTTTGTTGTGAAAACAGATTTATGATATGTAGTGAGTACAGTAAACGAAGTTTTGCTATCGCTACCGCATTGCGAGGTTTGGGAGGGAGGAGGCTTGTTTATGTGGCAATTGGCGTCGCAATGAACTGGTATTCTGCCGGGGAGCAAGTTCCCAGCAAAGGCGGTTCCGAGTTGAGTAACAAATTGGAGCGTAGCGCGAGAAACTCTGAAATAATCATACGAGCTAGGTAAGTTCGGTTGAAAGTTCGACTAATTCACTTTATTTTAGTATTGCGGTCAAGATTTGTAGTGATGTTTTTTACTAATGACAAAAATACTTGTTATTGATTTCTGTTAATAAGGAATCGTCCTAATTGTATTATATAATTTTATTGAATTTTTTTACACATGTAATGGACTCAAATACCAATTTGTTAAAATGATAAGATTTTATTTTGTTAAACAATTTTTATGTGTATAAGTTACAGAAAAGTATCAAATACCAATTACTAAGGTACAGTACTTATATATTATTATATTTCCAACGATTTTCTTATATAAAATATTTACATATTTGTGAAGTAAGTTTTTTTAAACGATCATAATTATTATATTAATTGTATATGGATATAAAACGTATAATATATATTTATATAGTTTAAAATATATCTATGCAATTAAATATATATATATAACATATATATATATATATATATATATATATAATTTTGTATATTTAATGTCATCTATTTTCAGCCATCTCAGGTACATGTCGTATATAAAATATCATTTGAATCTACATTTTGGTATGCTCCATATTATAAAAATCTCTCCCGAGGATATGCAGCCATATTTTCGTCAACGGGCTTAGAATTTAGTCGTTCCACAGTTTAAATTTTCATCATTCGCGTCACGTACATCGTACGGTTATTTCGATTTTTATTTCGTTTGAGCATTGAATACTGTAGTAATCAGTATACAATCGAAACAAACAATGAACGTAGCGACTGACGACGTTATAGTCGCATATATTCGCAAATCCAATAATTCCTCTTTAAATATTCTATGGCTCATCCAGCAAAAAGCTAATCCTCTGAATAATGGCTTATAGATATCAACGTTGGAGCAGGCGTGCCGGAAAAATATGCCGATTGTTTGCCTCTGTGTGAGCTCAGGGTATTAATAAAGGCATTTATATAATAAATCGTGGGTTCGTTGATATTTTAATTGCTCGTACAGCTATTTACAGCTGCCGTTGTATTGACTGTTCCGTTAAAAATTTACACCCTTATGGTGGTCGAGTTTGGGTTTATTAATATCAAACTGCTTGCGTCAATACATAATTATGATATTCAAATATGACAATGATACATTGTTTTTTATGTAAATATCAGTATTAAAGTTTGAGCGATTAATTTAGGGAGAGTAGAAAAACTTTGGTAATAAATTATTTTGGTAAACGGCGAACAAGTTGAAACGTTTGAAGTTGTATAGATTACTTGGTTAAACACAAGATAGAACAATTTAAATTTCTTTATACTATATCTAGGATGCCTTGTATGTTTCAATATTTTATTAAAACATTTTAAATACTAATATTTTTTTATTGATTTTATAGATAATTATATTACTACCAAAAACTAATTTGTAAAAAAATTTGTCCAATGTATTGTAATAATACCGAGGAGTTACGTAAGTGCTTTTAACTTTGCGATAATTTGTAAGTTGAAGAACCATTTTGTAAGTTAAGGCAAATAAATGATATGATAGAAATTTAAGAATTGTCATAGAATAAGTAAATTCAATAATAGAACTAAAGAATAATGTTTATAATGTGTACTTACCTGGTTGACCTTTTACCTTCTACATGTATTATTTTATTTTATATTGTTGAACCTTTGTTTTAAATAAAAAAATGGCTTTTATATCTAATATAAAAAAAATATAAGGAAATGTTATCTTATTTAATTTCATTATAAAAATGGCGCAATAATTAGTACAAACTATTATTGTGTATATTTTTGCAAGTTTTCAATGATTCATGGCTTACGTATTATTTATTTTGAATATGAAAATTTTAATAAATACTCAGACATACATGTACATCGATATTTGTACGATTGAAAAATGTTACTCTTATTTCTTCAGAAGTCGAGTAAGAAGTGTTGTTTTTCCGACTTCATTAAGTAACTTGGCTATTCTCAACTTTTTAAAATAAATTACACTTAGACATTCGAACGCAGTAGGTAACTTGATTTAATACGTATTACTTATTTATAGAATCAATATGAGAGAAATTTATTCCGACAAATGTCAGTTTCAATATTTGTGAGAATATTATGTAATTTACACAAAAATATTATATAAATAAAATCTTATTTTTTTTGAAGTTGATTGATAATGCCACTATTGACAATACATATATATATAATAAAAAAATAATAGTTGCATGTAAATAAAAGATTTAAGTATAGTACATTTAATTTTTTATTGAACATTATGAATAATAAAGTTATTAAAATATTTTATTTAATTAAGTAAACTTTAATATAATTATTTTATGAATAGTCACTTTTTATGCATCTGCCGCCCAGTTGGGAATAATTTTTTAGCTAAGAAGTAACAAGCAAGAAATTTAGCTGTCACTACTTACCTAACTTATTAAAAAAAAACATATTTTACATAAATAAATGATAAAATATATGAATGGATGTGACTACAAGAAGTAGTCGTTGATGAGTGTGACGTCAATCGTCATCATTGTATTCAATTATATTTAATAAATACTAAGTACACAGCATATAGAATTTACAGATAGAAGTCTGGTCACACTAAAATGCAGTGATAATAGGTACTTATGAATTTAAACAACTTTTCTCAAGAAAAGGCGAAGGTGTGAATAGAAAAAAAAAAAAATTCAACTGATCTACGACGTTCTATCGATTGTTGACAAGTAATCAATTTTGCTCGAAAAGTTTAAAAATTGTTTTTCTACTTCGACATAAGTCCGAAACCCAAAGAAACATGTTTTCTTTCATGAATAATATAGAGAAAGTTGTTTAGTTTCCTTGATTGTTTACTATCCCTGATTTTGGATTCTTTCCGTCCTTATAGACTTGTACCTATTTACATTTCTTTTGACAAAGCAGTAATGAAAATGTCTATATAAATGCAGCGGGCATAGTTCAAAATAATAAAAACAAGTAAAGAAATTGTCTATTCAATAAAGATGAAACTAGTTATATTGAAACCTGTAATATAAGAAGTTTTAACAGTTATAGGTACTTACTAACAACACAACATACGTACCTACGGTAATAAAATTCATTAAATTCGAAGTACAACTGAACACTGACAGTAAAAGCGGTGTAAAGGGCGGTCGGCGAAGTGTTTACAAACTTGCGGGACATGTATCTCACATCACAAACTTTGGAGAGATAGATTGTAAAGTTTACACGTAGACACGTAGATATACGAATATTTATTGTTACGACGATAGATAAGAAATAACTGCTGAAATTTTAAATTATCGTTGTAGGAAATAGGTACTACAATAAAATAATCACAAAAAAAAATTATGAGCATTATTTTGTACACGCTTTCTTTTTAAATTTTGTGAAAATTAACTTTTACAGCGTCTAATTAAATGTGTATGTTTTTACATGGTATTAGTATTTTCACGGACACTAAACTCAATGTAGAAGTTTATTTATTAGTTTTTAAACAAGTATCTTTATTTTGTTTTGCATAATATATAACACGATATCGTCGTTAATATATATATTTGTCTTCTGAATACATTTGTTAATTCTTTTTGCAATTGTCTTACTAATTGAATTTACTAAATGAAACTAACTTGCGTGTTAGTTTCATATTATTTTTATTATTATTGATGTAGTTTTTTATTGTTATTATAGAAACAGTTGTCGAGTGTCCGTGAAGGTGCTACAGTAATATTAATAATTTAATGAAGAAACGAATCTCTAACTTACCATCGGGAGGCATTGCATATCCGCTAACTACCACATATAAGAGAACAAACGCCGCTGCATGTAACCGCGGAATTAATCTGTGACCATTCATGATGGAAAAATAAATTTACCCCAACGACATTGTAATGCTATAAACTTTTTCAACTGTTACAAATGTGTCAACAAAAACGTTGTCATGGCTGTCGATGAGGTAACGAGGTTAGTTCATTCATTCGCTGCTCGGTAGAATAGGTGCGATTAAATATTCATCGGGGGTTGTGAATAGAGCGGGTGTTCGAGTCGTAAAGCGTGCAACGTGGTGCGGCGGGCGACGGGCGGCGTCGCTGCGTGCTCGCGGCGCGCCAGCTGCGTACTGGCCGCGATCAGCCATTCGCTTTGTCTACGGCTCGTCTTCTGCCTGGCGCTTGCGTAGCTCCGCCTCGTACTCAGATGAAAGGACGGAACATTACCAGTATTTGTAACAGTTTGCGTCAAATTGATATAAATGGAGACGGTTTTAATAAAGTGTAATTGACTTTTGCCAACTTTGCGTCGCATTAATTTCGACCACGCTAAGACGCCTCGGGCAGGTGCGGCGTTAAATACCACCCGAGTTACTTCGCTTTCGCTATGAATAATCTCGAATTTAAATTAATGATAATTATGATGAGTTTTTAAGTTCACTGCTATATCCAGGGATTGACGGTGAAATACGACGAAAGTGGCTGTTTTCACGGTTATAATTAGATTTCAGCTAATGGTGCCTTTATACAGGATTGTATTTTGATTATCTGTATGGATTCCACTTAATTTATGATTATTGATGACAGTTATTTGGAGTGCAAATATGTATAAATATATCAATTGAATATAAAGTATCGTTCTTTCCAATAGTTAAATAATATATGAATAATATATAAATTAGGTATTATTTTTAGAAGAAAAACGAATTATTCAATACAATAAGTTGCTTATCTCTCAAAGTTGAACGCAGGTTTTGATAAAACAATTATCGCCAGTTGTATCTTGTTATCAAGTTTGAACAAGGCGTAAATGGAATTTGTACCAGATGCAAATTAAATTTATTGTTTTAAAGGATTATTAAGGACACCTAACAATGTAAGTAATATAAATTGGTAGGTAACTAATCTGTAATGCAACACACACCTGATACTTCAAAAATACTTATGTTTTGTAGATATTTTAATTTATATTTATCCAATAAATAATATAAAATTTATTAAGTTAAGGTATTCTTAAATTTATAAATATATTATTGTTATAAGACAAGTTTAGTAACGTTTAGAACTAAAAGTTAAACTTTATGTAAAGATGAGATAAGGTTACAAGTGTAGGCACTGCTACTTGCTGCTACTGTACTGTACTATACTATAATAGCTTTTACTCCCTCAAGAGGTTGAAAAAAGATAGCATATTATGTCCTTCCACAGAGTTCAAGAGACTCCCATTTTACATTATTCATTAAAATCTTTTTAGCCGTTCAGCTGTAAAAATCAAGCAGACAGATAGAAAAATAAAGTTATTTTTACATTTGTAATATTCATATCTTGGTATGTATAAAACAGCGTCTACTAAGTGCGATAAAATAATTATAATAAAATATTTATATTACTTTATTTATAAATTAGCCATGTGGTTTCAGCATAGATTCCCTTCGTTTCCTGTGGGTGTCATAAGAGGTTACTAAATGGGCGAGGGATAGACAGCAGCGTCGCTCTTAAAACATTACTAAAGTCTATGGTTGCCAACTCACACGTCAAGCGTGGCAACCCGTTCAATAGTGGCTGTTAATTTTATAACAATAAAAAAATAATAAAATATTTGAAGGTATTGTTTATTGTTATTTTACCAGAGGAAGACTTTGTACAAAATTCGTTTGTTTGGGTACCTCTATCCCATTCGTGTTTCAACCGTAAAACAGTTGTGTTTGCATAGTTATGTTTCGGTTTGAAGGGTGGGATATGGTATCATGAGCGAAAAAGTATACTCTGTTATGCCCATGGTACTGCTCATGTCTATAGGCGACGGTTACCACTTTCTATCAGGTGGACCGTCAGCTTGTTTGCCATTCTAAGTTGTATAAAAAAAATATTATTTTTACATATAAGATCGACAGTGTATATTTTCCGAATTCAAAATTTGGGTATAAACTAGTAGTAATTTTTATCATTTGAAATGTAAATAATTCGAGAATCTGTCGTGATATAGTCTCCTGTTCCAGTGATATCAACTAAACTTGAAAAAAAGCATTCAACAAAAATGCTTGTGACTAACGTATTATTGTTAGGTTTATTTTTTGTAACTATATGATGACATCCCTACTAATATCACAGCTAATGTTATAAATGTACAAGTGAGTTTGATTATTTGTTATCTTTTAGCATCTTAATAATTCAACGAATTGCCATGAAATTTGATATTAGAGATAGAGATTTTGATGGTTGAAATAAAAACAAATATTAATGCAATATAAAATTTAAAAGGCGTACATAATAAAACATTTAAAATTGGATGCACATGTATTGTTCTTGTATATAGTTATTAAAGTTGATTTTTAAATTCTTACTACTACAAATATTATAGTCGTCCTCACATACAAATTACCTAAAGCTATTATATTTAAATTAATTATTATTTATCTTATTTGAATTATATAATAACAGATTAATGGTATGATACAACTATATTATAAATTACAATAGTTTGTCCATTTTTTTCTGCACTTAGCCTCTTAATAGAGTGTAAAATAATATTTATTTATTTAACTCTTTATTGCACCATAAACAAAAATATACAATGACAAGTGAATAATTCAAGTGAAATACAGTAACATAAATACAGATTGAAATATACACATAAAGGTACAAAAGGCGGTCTTATCTTATATATACATATGTAAGAGATTGCCCTAGCAATCTCTTACAGACAACCTTTGGTTAAAAGAGAACAGATAAAAGTGGGTAGGTGGCGCAAGAGTGAATTAATAATTTTCGTGCATAAAATACAAAAATAATAATAGTGCAGGAGAGGTAGTTATTTCAGCCAACCTAGATTATTCCAGAATATTGGAAAGTGCTTTCTGGTCGACCATGTTCCGACACTAAAAGTGACAACAAACTCTCATGTAAGCTGCGTGAGAGTTTGTTGTTACTTTTAGCCCATTGTTTGTTATATTGTGATTTTGTTCTGTATTTTAATCAGAAAGTGATATGGCTTTGGGAAATAAATAGTATCGGTTCTGGCTTCAGTGTTTTTATACTGACTTCTTTTTTTGTAAGTTCATCTGTGGCATCAATATCTAGAGACTTATTCTGTCTTATAATCTACTGCAGCGTGATATTGTTATGTATTGCTATTGCTTGCTGTACATTAAGGTACTCTGGTATAAGGGCTGAAGTTTTCTTTTAATTTTTGAGAGCATTACGAGCGGAATAACCAATGCACTATGTGGGACAATTTTGATTAAGTAGAGTTTGACATCCCTGCTTGCGACCGTGATTATAGATATATAAAGATAAAATAAAACAAAACATTATAAAGATAAAGGACATTACTATAATAATAATAGATAATAGGCACTCGACCATTAAGTTCCCTTAGTCATCTCTTACGACACCCACAGGAAAAGATTATATTATTATTTCAGCCGTTCAGGTTTTGCTAGTAGTTGCTATGCTTGGCAGGTGGGTTGGCAACCGCAGTTAAGGTTGGGTGATGTTTTAAGATGAACACTGCTACCCATTCCTTGATCATTAAGTTCCTTTAATCACCGCTTATGATACTCACGAGAAAGGATTATATATTTACTGTTAAAGACAAGAATACTTGATAAGTCAAATTTATTTTACGGCTTGTTCAAATATGGACATATTTGTAACTTATCAATTTGATTACAGCGAGTAAATCCACGGTACATGCTAGTAATCTTATAAATATGAATTGGCAATGCTTCGTATTTAATTAACTTATATATTCACTCGAGGTTTAATAAGATTTACATGAATATTATGGTGTAGGAATATCTCGATTTCGTGAGTGAATTCAATAAGCATGAATATTTAATCGTAATACGTCAATATAGTAACTGACTGATTGAATATAATATTCACGCATGGTGCGAAATGCCTCCATAATTATATATTTCTGATATATTGTATAGCCCTTTCAGACCTGAACGATACGGGCGTGGGTTGTAACTTTAAAAAATTCTAAAACCACGCGCAATTCATTTTTACGCACGAATCTGAAATAACATGATAGTGAGATTCTAACCAGCCAATAAGAAATAATTTTAGCGGTTAGGTGGTGCAGTAGTCTCGTGCGTGCCAGCAAGATGACTTGGCTTCAAAACACAAAAATATATTTAATCTGAAAGAAAAAAAATCTTGGATCTGAAAGGGATAGGAATTTGGAAAATATTTCAAATTAGCTAGAACTCGTGGCTTTAAACGCATGATTTAAGATAAAAAGTATACTATTTGTTAACATATGGTTTATTAAACAGGTATTTTTAATCAAATTCAGCCGATTGAGCGCAATTGAACAAGTAAAATTCAATTCAAACATCATTACAAATTTTCATATTTATGATATAAAAATTTGCGAAAAATTTTTTTTGTTTGGTTTTGTAAAGATGTTTTTATTAAACTCCAAAGTTGAAAATCCGTAATAAAACCTTTTCGAGTAAAAGATAGCTGAACTATTTAAAAAAGTTTAATTTAAATTACTAAAAGAATTTTCAAAATAAGTTCAGAATCATCTTAAGAATTTCTTCCTTTTTGAAATCGTTTAAAAATGTACCTTAAATTGCTGTTTTTGAATAGGGTGACTAAAAGTCTGGCCTCATTCCTTTTTTATATGCATTGACTGAAGTAGACGGTGGCCTTTAGTTCCAAGAGGCGTCGATCAGGCAGTTGGAGATTTGTTTAATAAACCTCCTCCTTGAAAATATTGTACACTAGTTTATATTTACGAAATGGAGGTACTAACGTTTTTTAAAATCTCTTTTAAACACAGTATAGGTAAATGACACGTTTTAGCCATTGCTTGCAGCAGAGAATGAAACAGTAATATCAATTGTCTCGGTCTTTATTATACATGCAACAATAAAAATGTATTTGCTGATTGATTTATTTGATAATATTTTACGTAATTATTACGAATAAATAATAAATAAACAAACGGATGTATTTTTTTTAACGAATGAACAAATGAAATTTTTTGCTCAAATGTGGTGCAATAATAAGTTGGTTTCATACATTTTGTTGTAACTGACATGAAATATTCATTACAAAGTTATGATAAAATAAATCTTTATAATAAAATAAAATTAGTTTATAAACTGCAAAGTTTATAAACTCTTCAAAAAGCGATTAAATATTATTTTCATGTTAATAATACTTACTATAATTTCTTTTTCTATATAATAAACTATAAATACATAATAATATAGCGTACGACCCGCCTGATTCCTATTAAGCGGGTTCCTTATGGTAAATAATTCTTTACGAGCGACAGCTATGTGGTCACTGTATACCATAACCTATGGGCGCCTATAAAAATAACACAGTCGTTGTAACCATAATTCGGGGTCTGGAGGTTCATATTGGTAGTAATTTAGAGTTCAGCACAATTTATTTAAGTAAACAGGATGAAATTGTAACCATTTAAGAGAGTATCCTATATTAGTTAAATTAATTAGTTTTTTAAAGGAATACCATTCGAAAAACGAAAAAAGT